AAAAGGAATGAGCCAAGAAAGATTATCACCGTTAATAAAAGGAATGTCTGCTGTGCCCTTCGCCCTTTGGGATTGCCCAAACCAGCACCCAGGACAGCAATACAGGCAATACAAAAGCAAGGGACTCGGGATCTCTGCAAATTATTCTGTTGCAGGGACAGCTATTTAGCTGGTAAGGAGGAATGCAGCTCCCAGGGCACTCCACTAGCAGACTTTGGCAGTTAGCTGGACAGGGGACAAAGATTTGGGGCGGAGTGTGCAGAAACTCTGCTCCAGACAGCATGGGAAGGCACGAAAGTGGTGGTGATGTGTAACAGGGCTTGGTCCCCAGTACTAAGACAGGGTTCAAAGAGTGGAGGAACCACCTATACTGGAAAAGGATTGAGTTAAGGTTGTCTTGAGAAAATCTTAATGCAAAGGTGGCTATTGGACTGGATGGGATACATGCAAGAGTACTAGGAGAACTAGTCGATGTCATTATGAAAGCTTAGATTTATCAGGACATAAATCAAAACTGTGGAGATTCCAACAAAATCAGGAAAAAAATTCCACCATGAGGACAGTCTGGTTGCAGGACAGAGTCCCACAGACACTGTAGGATCCCCATCCTTCAAGGTTTTCAAGACCTGACTGGACAAAGCCCTAAGCAACTTAGTCCAAATTTAACGCTGAATCTGCTTTGATCAAGATAATGCATTACGGACCCCTAAGGTCCCTACCAAATTTAGTGATCCCACGAAGCTACTTACCAGATTTGAACATTTGTACAGTTTTAAGTACCAGAACTAGCTCATGACCTAGCCAATACACTGGGCTGCCCACAGCACAAAAGCTGCCACATTATCAAGCACTGCTCTTCAACCAATCATGAGATCTACTGCATCAGTGGCAATTTAACCTTGTAAGCTCCAAACAGGGAATATCTTTAAAATGAAAGACAGATGTACACTCACTAAACTAAAGTTAGCATCTGACTTTACAGTTACATGCATACTTCTTTCCATGGCTGTTACCCCTTTTATTCAGCTCTGGCAGAGAAGGGGGTGGGGGGCACAGGAGGGAGAGGAAGGCTGGCCAGAAGAGGCTGCTGATGCTCTGTTTCAGAAGAAGCCTGGTTTTCACCATCTCATTAGCTTGAATTTTGTCCTAATAAAATTTTCCACCTTACAGAAATGGAATTGCTTTGAATTAAGGAGTGCCTTAAGGAAGGTAATGATAAGACAACAGCTGCAGCTCAAGCACCAATAAAACTAAACCAGCAGAGACCTAGCAGCCTTATTATAATTTGCTAGTTGCTAATTTAACTGATCCATGTAGCTAAATTGCTCTTCTTGTATAGGCAGTCTTATCTGGGCAAGGCTTACTTGAGCAGAAAAACTGAAGTTACCTATGGCACAAAAGCGAACTAAAAGACTGCCAATTCTTCCCAACAGAGATCACCTTTGCTTGCCCATTACTATATGCTCCTACTAACAGTTACAGGCTGTGGCTCTAGTACTATCTTTGAAGTACTTACGTAGATTCTAATACAACTGGAAAGCATATTGGGCATCTGTCTTCTGAGGAGACTAACAGATGCACTGTTCACAGGTGGGGAGCAGACTCCCTACATGCAAAGATTATGCAATGGTAAAGACAAGACAGACCTGATGTGTGTGCTTGGTGACCGGTAAGCTGTGGATAGGCGAGTCAGTCCACAGAAGGTCTGGCTGTCCTGGCACTTACATCTTTACTCCCACAAGTAATGCAGCAGGAAGGCTAAGGGTAAGCGTAAGTGTCTACAAAATTAAGGCAAAACAAAGTAAACTGCAGCTTGGCTAAAGACATGGAAGGAGATGATCAACTTCTGCAACCAAGTTACAGAAAAAATGAGTTAACATCCTTAAAAGAAATCTCAGATGACCACACTGCTTTTCCTGAGTTTTTTTTCATCTGCCTATCACATCTGGAAGGAAACAGCAAAACAAAGGGTCCATTTAACTAGGTCAGAAAGTTCCCAGTTGCCAAGGTACAAAAATGTGAATTAATCCATTTTCACGACTTACAGTTTGAAAAAGAGTGAGAAGCAAACAAGTATTTGAGATTGGTTACTCCTCTACATTCTTCCTGCACTTGCAGCTCAATCTGCATGGAAACATTCAGAAAACAAGAAAACAGTCCTCTCTTTCAGCCTCGACTCAAGAATAGAAATGAGCCTGCAAGGCATATCCAGGCAAGGCATATCCAGGCATTTTCAGCACAGTGTTTTCCAGAAGCATAAGACATCTGGGCAACATAACTTCTTCACAGCAGTTGTGCCAATCAAAAGCAAATGACGTATTTGGAGAATGAAACCAAATGCACCTACTCTGCACATCAGAAAGTGTTAAAAAGTCCCCCTGTAACAGTGCTCTGCTTCCCCTTCACCAGGAAAGCAATGCTAGAAATGACAGCACGCTATGACAGCTCCTCTGGTAGGAAGTTCAGTGACCTCTACAATTGGCTCAACAAGGACAGCAGGTACTTTTCAACCACACAAACTTTCAAAATTTGATCCAGTATTTTGTGGATTGAAGGATCAAATGGTTTGCAAGAATAAGATCTCTGTGTCCTCGGCCATGCTGCGGAAAGCAAATATTCCTGGGCTGTGCAGAATTTGGAAGAGATCCACCTTCCTTTTATATACTAAGAACTAAAAAAAGTAAAAGTAAAAAAAAAAGAAGAAAAAAAATATTTGAGGAGGAAAAAAGAAGCTTTTTCAAGTCGAATATCAACCCAAGCAGAAGTCAGTGAAAGTAGATAGCAAAATTTCTGATGGCCAACTGCTGAGACAAACACTGATGAACTGTTTGTTATCAGCTGGAATTTGAGCCCTCTTATCCCCTTCTCCTTCACCCTCTCTCTCTCTCTCTCCAAGTGATCTTTGCATTTAACATGATCACCCAAAGGTTTGTTTTTGCACAGAACTAACACCATAGCAACAGAAGTGAGAGAAAAGATTTACCAGCAGTAGCTTGAAAAAATAGAGAGATATGGCTATGCTGCCTTTTATTCTGTGAGGCAGGCTACAGCCTATGCTGCTTGCCCTTTTTGGTATTAAAAAAAAGGTATTGGTTTCATGGCACTGTCACTTACCACCAAAACCCAGCAAAACTCAGGTAAATGACCTGGAAGACAGTGATAAAGCTGGACACAGAAAATGCCAGATGCAAGGCATATACATGGCTTGGACAAGTGAACTTTTCACTGGGTAAAAAACTGGCCAGGCCCAAAGAGTGGTGGTGGATGGAGTTAAATCCAGTTAGCAGCCAGTCACCAGTGGTGTTCCTCAGGGCTCAGTATTGGGGCCAGTTCTCTTTAACATTTTATCAACAATCTGGATGAGGGGATCTAGTGCACCCTCAGTAAGTTTGCAGATGACACCAAGCTGGGTGGGAGTGTTGATCTGCTGGAGGGTGGGGAGGCTCTACAGAGGGATCTGGACAGGCTGGGTCGATGGGCCGAGACCAACTGTATGAGGTTCAACAAGACCAAGTGCTGGATCCTGCACTTCAGTCACAACAACCCCATGGAATGCTACAGGCTTGGGGAAGAGTGGCTGGAAAGGTGCCTGGCGGAAAAAGACCTGGGGGTGTTGGTTGACTGCCGGCTGAACATGAGCCAAGAGTGTGCTCAGGTGGCCAAGAAGGCCAACAGCATCCTGGTCCGTATCAGAAATACTGTGGCCAGCAGGACCGTGGAAGTGATCATCCCTTTGTACTTGGATCTGGTGAGGCTGCACCTTGAATTCTGTGTTCAGTTTTGGGCCCCTCACTACAAGAAAGAGATTGAGGTGCTGGAGCGAGTCCAGAGAAGGGCAACGAAGTTGGTGAAGGGCCTGGAGCACAAGTCTGATGGGGAGCGGCTGAGGGAGCTGGAGTTGTTTAGCCTGGAGAAAAGGAGGCTGAGGGGAGATCTTGTCGCTCTCTACAGCGACCTGAAAGGAGGTTGTGGTGAGGTGGGTGTTGGCCTCTTCTTCCAAGTAACCAGTGATAGGACAAAAGTGAATGGCCTCCAATTGTGCCAGCAGATGTTTAGATTGGATATTAGGAAATATTTCTTCGCTGAAAGTGTTATCAAGCATTGGAACAAGCTGCCCAGGAAGTGGCTGAGTCACCATCCCTGTAGGTATTTAAAAGACATGTAGATGTGGTGCTTAGGGACATGGTTGAATTGTGGACTTGGCACTGCTAGGTTAATGGTTGGACTCTATGATCTTAAAGGTCTTTTCCAACCTATTCTATGATTCTATACGCCTTTCCAGGTCTTACTAATCCATTTATGGAAGAAAACAACCGCTAGATAAATGCCGTTATCATAGCTGGCTGTACCAAGCCTGCTTACCTTCTAATAGAAAGACCATTGGGGAGCGAAAAATGCTCCCAAGCTTAGAAACATCACAGTCCCCCCCACAGGCTTCCCAGATCGACTGGAGAGGAAGTTACAGGCAAACACAGCTCCATCCATCTCTGTGCTCCACTCCCCTTCCCCCTTCCTCTGTCCTTCAGAAACACACAGCCAGTGCATTATCCAAATCATTACACAGGAGGGCAAAAAAAGTTTATTTCCATTAAGCATAATTTGTTTAAAGTTTTGGGGTTGTTTTTCTCCAGAACACTGGCAATCCATCCATA